ATCTACAATGTTATTGGTCCTGATCTGGCACCTCAGCTTCAGTCACTTTCCCACTGCTGTAACACAGCTTCCCTGTATCTTTTCTATATTTTCATTGTAATTGTTTTGATGAGTTTTCCTCTATGGTACTTAGACTTCATGATTTTAATCACAGTACTAGATTGGCAGCTAGGTCTCATCATTTTACAGTTGAAATGGCTAGAAGTTAATCTTAAGTTCTATGCTAACAGTTTCTTCTACCTCATTTCTCACTTGTGGAACTCTCTTCCAGCTTCTTGATTTCCATTCGACTTTGATCTTCAAAAACTTAAATGCAATGTCAAACATCATCTTCTGTCTTAATTTCTGTTCTTTTATTGTTGTCTCTCTTTAATGTTTTCTTTTTTTCATATTCTCACACACTCGGTAACTTCTTGCATCTTAGTGGTTTTATTGCCTTGCTTTGGTTGAAATGATTATAAAAAAAAAAGCCACTAGGAAAAGCATGTTGATAAAAATAACAAAGATGAGGATACTTTCACAAATAATTAAAGAAGATCTTAAAACTGATTATTTATTATCCCTTGATTTAATTTAATCATTAATTTATTTACTGTACTCTGAGAATTCTAGTCAAGGGTTAAAAACTTGAGACTTTCTTTTTGTGATCTCGAGCAATATTAACATCTGAATAATTAACTATTTAAAACAAATAATAGTAAATATGAAATCATACAGAAAAAAATTAAACAATCATTAACCAAACAGCTTTACTATAGTTTGAAGTTTATAAAATCTTTCTTTCAAAACACATTGGTGCTTGTACGACCATCTGGTGGGTTGCTTTCCCATTTCTTTTCTATGAGGATTTTTTTTTGTTTTTTTTGTTAAGGGGTTCACCCCTTTTTCATACAAGTGGACTCCCCCAGTGTGTACTTGTACTGTTGCCGGTTAATACCCAGGGGGTGATACAGTGACAGTGAGAGAGTGATGTAACTGCTTTGTAGTAGTCACAGTTGTGAGCATGTGGACTCAGAAGGAAGTCATACTTCGATACTGAATTTCCCAGACTGTATAGATATTATTATTATTGCTACTAACCGCATTTCTGGATCTACTAACCGTATTACCAATTGTATTATTAGGTCAATAAATTTATTTGCTATATTTCATTCCTGCGTTTGTCATTCATTTGAAACCCAGTACTTTCTGAGCAACTGTTCGGTTGTACTCTCTTCCTACGGACAGGAGGAACCCAAAGGAGGCTACACCGAAGGGCGGAGTCTCCTTCGGGGAGGTAAAACCGGCCCTGAACCCGTTTATATGGGTTCAATGGGCATATTTTTGGCCGAGCCCACGGGCTCAGAATGCCCACGTTAAAAAGGCCTTGTGCCACATGACACCCTCGTGGGGGGGGGATTGAATATCGTCATTCTTTTTTCTTTGCTTTTTTGTCTTTTTTCACCTTTCTTTTTTCTTTGCCATTGACAGAGTTTCCAAAGAAATTGGAAGACCTCCTTGATAAAGTGTATCTTGAGTTTTCCAGCGTGACCTGGATTCATTACCACAACCAACCAATTGCATTAATGCAACTGCTGATTAATGAAAAAGTGGATGAGTTTATGGCCCCAATTCAGGATCAGCAACACTTCCACTTGTTACTGGAATATCTTGAAAATAACCTACCATTTATTTCGGATGAACTCATACCTTGTAAGTGTTCTTTTTTTTTTTACTTAATATGGTCAGTTGTTTTCCAATTTCTTTTCTATCAGGATTATTGGGAGTGGGATGCTATGATTGTTTGCTTATGAAATCATGAGACACCAGAACCACATTTTTTTTTTTCCAAAGAAATTTAAATATTTTTAATTTTTTTTTTGTATATTATTTTGTTTTCCTTTTGGAATTTCTATTGTTGTTTTTTTGGGTCATTTTTATTTTTACCTACACAGAGCTGTATCATACATTCAGGTAAACTAAAAGAATGAGTAAACAGAAAATTTAATTGGTAAAACATCATGAAATTAAAAAAAAAAAGTATATTTTTTAAAATAATTCCAACAACCAGTAAAATAAACACAAGATTTTTAATCTAATATAGAAATCACATTCTTAATAAATAAAGAAAAACATCATATTCCTAACATGTCTGATTTCTTGAAAAGATATAAAAGATAATATATAAAAGTACATATTGCTACATGACTAGGAAAATTTGAATTTATTCTTATTTTATATGTCTCTTATTGAAACACTCAAGGCAAAGGCAAGAATTACCTTCACATTCAGCACAAAATGGATTTAATTTTTGTCTTTTTTATCGATGCTGATAAAAAAGACAAAAAATTAAATTCATTTTACACTCATTGTTTACATAATTTTGCTATAACAGGATTTAGTATTGGGACAATAAGGGAAATGAGGCTTGCAAGCCAACGTGTTAATACAGTTCTTCAGGAAAATAAACATTTCAAGTTGAAAAAATGTTATCACACTTTCTAGTACAGATGGGTGTTTCCTTCTTAACCTTTTGTTTTTGGTAGTGTGGAAAGTCAACATCTTGATTATATCATTATTTTCCATTCTAGTTACACGTGTTATTTATTTTTTTTGTTGTTGTTGCTAGTAGAAAACTTGTGATTTTTTTGTTTTTACTATTTTGTAAAGCTCCTTTGTGATTTGGTAGCACCAGTCTGTAGGGTTCTGATGAAATATTATTTTCTTTAAGACCTGAATGACTCACTCACTTGTTGTATACAGCTGGTAGTTTAGACATTTCTAAATGAGCTGGATGCCCTACATGATATCCATATAAGTGCCAAGATCTGATGAGGCCTTTTAACAACATGGCTCATATTCTGAGGTTAATATTTTGGTTTTGTAGCCCCTTATGGTGTTGGGCAAAACTATCCCTAGTGCAAACTATCCAGTGTTCAATTTCCTTATCTCCTATAATAAATTTGTTACAACTGATCCATATTTAAAGTGTTTTGAATTTATTAATAATAAATAGTAATATGATGTGCATGGTATGATGGGTCTTAGCTGTTAACTGGTGAAACTAAGGAATGTTGTTTGTCTGAACACTTTCCATGGAAATAGAAATAGAGCAGTGAGAGGCTTGCAATGTTTTGTCTGTGGAAAAGTGATCGTAGGGTGGAAAATAATCACCCACAAGGTGACGTAGATGCTTTTGGACTCTACCGAGACTGGAAAGTGAAGAGTAGGCGGCTCTTACTCATATGTTATATTCTGTACTAATAGGAATATATACTTGAAAATATGGTGGATAAAATAAGTAAAGGTTTAGTTTAAAAACCAGTACAATACGAATAAAGGTAACAGTTATACACAAGGTCATCGCAAGTCAATCCAGTAGTGAGTGCTACTATTGGAAGGTCGGTAGTTCTCACGTAAGTCTGAGTCCTACTCAACAGATCCCATCTAGTCTCTGTAGTCTGTTGACTTACAGATATTTATAGTTTGTTACTACCTATAGCATAGTCATTCATGGGGGTGACAGGTTAATTCATTACATCACCATATATGGCAGCAGTAATCCATTTTTGGTCCAATCTGGCTCTTGGAAAAGCAGAGGATAGTGGAGCAGTCAAGTACTTAAAGAAATTATCTGTATTTTCTGATATTGTATTAAATTGTCCTATATGAAATGTCTAATTTTTTTTTTTTGTTTGCTATTTTTTTTGTTTGTTAATCTCTTTGCTATTTTGTTTTGAGGTGGTTGTTTTTATAAAAATTTTATTCCTAGCCTTCAGAAAATGATGGCAATTAAAGAATGTGGGCTGGTCATATTATACAAGTTCATATTAGGCCACTAAAGCTCAATGAAACATCAGCTTAGCATTTGGCACTAATATTGTTAAAGTCAAAAACTATACAGAGATGGTTATAGAAAGTTCTTTTTAGGAGATGAGATCCTTGAAAATAGACGTAAAGGAAGATCTAATTCAGTTATTAAAAATTATCAATTGATTTGACAAAATCCAAAACCAGCCAACTCATACTGCAACAAAATTTATTGCATGCATGAAATATTTTGTAAGAAACATTTTAGACGAGTGATGAGAGATGACCCAAGTGGGTTCCATGATAATGCACACCCTCACACTTTAAGGTCTATTGTTTAAAAATTGCACAGCTTTGGTTATGAGATTTTAGAGCATCCATCTTATTCCCACAGATTTTTACTTATTTAAACACTTTGAACTTTTTGTATGCAAGAGAAGATTGTCTTATCTTAAAGTAAACAAAGCAGTTTATTGAGGGAGAAGACGAAGTGTATTTTAAAAAATAGGATAAACAGGTTACAATTACATTTGAAGAAAAATGCAGAATAAAATGGATATTATTGTCATTAAATGATAGAGTTTTTTGTCATTCATCAAAATATTACATTTGATATGTGTTGTAGCATATCTACGGATGATAATGGGTATGTCGCCATGTAGCATATCTACGGATGATAATGGGTATGTCGCCAGTAGTAAATACTGTATGTTGGTCTGCAGTTGCAGATTTGTCTCCAGCTGTGCTGGTCAAACTCTCTGCCTCCGAGCAGAGAGGATCCCCAGACGAGGATATGCTGAAGAGCAGAGTTTCGTCTTGAGAAACAGCTACCTGACCCCATTTTATACGGGGCCTACAGGGAATTTTTGGCCAAGTATATGGGCTCAGATAGCCCACATTAAATTTGGCCTTGTGCCACATCTGATCACATGAGGCAGTTGAAGATTCATTATGGAATTTACTTTACTCACTTCCAGCAGTTGACTACTTCTATGCGTCACTAGCGAATCTTATGTGTGTTGTTCTTGTCCTAAGTATTATCGTTCATAACCAACCTTTGCATGATTATTCTATTCCAGTAACATTCCCTAGGTTGCAACAATATGAGACAAGTTTTGAATAGCACTTTATTGTTTTAACTCAATTGTATTTTGTTTGTAGAACACATAGCTGTCTTAATCAAACAAGAAATGGAAATAAAATAAACATACCAGGTTCAATCTCAATGTCTTCCTTAATGTCAAACATTAATACCAAAGGTAAACATCCCTAGAAAAAAGAGAAAAAAAGGTTTCATATGAGAGAAATTGAATTTAGGAATGTAATAACTGATATATTTATTTTAGCAATAAAGAAAAAAAAACAAAAAACATCTTTATTAACACTTTTAATTACTGGAATTATAAAACCTGAAATTTGACTTTGTGTCTACATTTTTCCAGTCATAAAATCACTTCCTTCCTTGTTGACACTGTCACTAACACATATTCATAATTTTCTACTTTCTCACATGTCAAATGAGTAATAAAAGTGTATAATTTCTATGGTGTTTTTGTTCCATGCACCCTTTTCATTATAAGTCAGAATGTCATTCCCCACCCTTTCCAAGATTGTCCAACTCAAAAGATACATTCCAAATTATATGCATATATTATTGAAAATCTTCATTCTTTTCCATATTAGTACATATTCAATTACATGGATTATTTTTATGGAGAAGTCATACAAATTTAATAGCAAAAGAAAATGTTGATGAATTTTTAAGCTTGAATGCATATACAGTAATTTGCTTTAATTCATAACTGATTATTAAATAAATAAACTGAAGCAGACTTCAAGAAACGATAAGTTCAATAGAATGCCAAGGTACTAGAATTCAATAAACAAATTCTGTAAAAAAAGAAAAAAGAAAAATTAAAAGATTCCTCCCACATGAAACACTGAAATTCCCCCTGAGGCGGAGGGATTACTGTCTGGTTCAGAACCCCTAGCTTAGATCAGAAGTAGAGGGTAACATTAAAAAGAACCAAGAGATTCAGTATAAAGCTAGAATTAATTGAAGAGGTGACAGATACTGTCTTCTTTTAATGAAGTACACAGAAAACAAACAAGATAAAAAGACAATATTTATTCATGCAGCAGTATAGAGAGATGGGTTGGTTAATTTTACTTGGGTTATTAAATGTTTAAATCAGTTTCCTTCTTTAATTAGTATTACAGTGTAACCCGGATATAAGAGACCCGAATACAAGAGAGATTTTCTCTGGTCCTAAATTAGAGCCTGGGTTAATGTATATAAAATAGACCAAACTCGGATATAAGGGACTTCTTCTTCGGTCCCGACAACTCTCTTATATCCGGGTTACACTGTTTTACATTTAAATCTATACATTTTTGTTTAGTTCAGGAATAGGCAAATATTAGCCATTCATGCTTAGAGTCTATAAGCATTTATGTGGTAGGTGATCACATTGTCCATTTATATTTAAGATCAATAAGTATTTACTTTTCTTTTTTTTTTTAAATCAATTCACCCCAGGCAAGGTGGTAATGCCATTAAGACGCAAGGGGCTACTGGGAATAAAAGAGAATGAAAAGACTTCAGAAGGAACCTGAAACCTAATCCTAAACAGGGAACAAGAGATAAATCTCTAAACCAGTTTAAAAAACCAGGGAGGAGTGTGAACCGGATGATAGGTGAACCTGATTGGTAAATACTGGTTGTTAATATTTAAGTCTAGAAGCAATTACTTGGATCAGAGATAGGTAAATATTGGTTGGTTATATTTGATTATAAGTATTTAGAGATAGGGAAATATCAGCCATTTATATTTGAGTCTATACTTGGTGAAGGAATTGGTAAAAATTGGTCGTGCATACTTGAGTATTTCGCATTATTTGCCCATCATAAAGAGTCTGACCATAATTTTGAGCTGAAAAATGTGATTTTAATTAAAAGGGAAAGCAATTTACGAAGACTATAGTGTATAGAAAGTGCGTTAATCTAATATTTCACATTAGTTGCTCATCATCATGTGTCTGACCCTAATTTCGAGCTGAAAAATGTGATTTTAATTAAAAGAGAAAGTAATTTACAAAGTGTATAGAAAGTGCTTTAATCGTTAGATCATTCACAGTAAATTTGCACCCAGGTTCTTACAACATTTTACCTTTCTTGGCAGATTTTTTTTTATTGTAATATGGGATAATAAGTGATAAAAATATAAACAAAAAGAAAATAAATGAAATTGGCTAGACTATATATATATATATATATATATATATATATATATATATATAAATAAATCCAAAAAAAACATTAGTTTAAAATTTCAGTATTACTTCTCCTTTATACATATATGTAGTAACATAAACATAAACATCACTTTAGTCCAATGAAGTCCTAAACAATGAAACATATCACACAAAAAAGGCTGAAACCGGCATATTCTTTGCCCTGCTTGCATATATTTAAAACAGTCAGTTTTGTCTTTATAGATTTGTCTTCAGTACAGCCTTTTCATTTCAATATTTTCAGTGCTTACCTCCTTGTCATAAGTTGCTTACTCTAACAGATCCTAACTCTCTTTTCCTCAGCCTCTGCATTGATTGTTTTTTTTTAAGGCTTATCAACCTTTTGAAGGTTACTGAAAGCCAGAAAATATTTTGTGGATTTTAAGAATTTTTTGGAGATAATGATTTACTGATACAAGTCCTCCTAATTAACCCATAGCTGGGGGAGAAGAGGTGGATTCATACATTTCCCAAGGATATTTGTACATAAGTAAATATAGCAAACCTGATTGGAAGTGAAACTTGGTTCTCCAATTTCTGATTCTATTACACCGCCTGCATATCGAAGCTTACAGCACCTGTTATTCCTAAGCAGTCACCCATTTAGGTATTGACCAAGATTGGCATTACTTAACTTTAGTAACTATACAAGAACCAGTGTTTTGAAATTATATAACCTGTACAGTTTGACTTCTTATTCTTTACAACACCATTCTCAGCATGAATGAACTTTGACATATCTTTCTGCCAACTCCATCACCTAGTGTAACTTTTTGCTTTCAGCTCTTTACTATCTTTCTTCACACTGCCATTCATTTACACAAACTCATAAAATAGATCAATTGCTGTTTCCCTTTGCCTGACTTTCTATGTCCTGTGAGTGTTAAATTTCCCAAGCCTTCTTTCTTAATAATGTGTGGCAGAAATTTCAACTCTTCCTGCTTAAGTCTTTCTAGTTCATATTTTCTCCTTGTTGATCTGCCTATCAGATTATCAGCATTCATCTGTGGAATTACATATTTCAGCGAAGTTTATGTTAAAATGTTATTTTTTTTTATTCATTTAAGGTATTGGGGATGTTAAAATCTAGTGCACCATCCAAACCCAAATATACAAGCTTGGTTAAAGTTAAATGTGTATCCCAGAAGAATCTGTGATGACAACTTGGAGAACTATTTCAAGAATATGCAATTCTAACAATTTACCAAAGTAAGCTGAAGGTCCCCAACCCTAAACATTTTTTTTTGAAATCCTGGAAAAAAAAAAAAATAAGTGGGTAGAATTTCCATTCCGGGTTTTTGTAGAGACACTGACAAGGCAGTTCCTCAAAAAAGAAAAGAAAAATATAATACAAAAAGAAATCCAACTTTTCAGACTGTCTCCAATTTTTGGTTCCCACCAATAGCACCAACCCCACCCCCTAACCAAATGCATCCACTTACCTACTTCTCTTTCCCCCCTTGTCTGGGTTAACAGAAAGCAACCCACCCACCTGTTCCCTTTACTAAAGTTCCCTCCTAAAGGGCTAGGAACAGGCCTGAATGACTCCCAAGTGGGTCCTTGTAGTTGTGAGTAGATAAGGAACGTTTCATTTTTTTTTTTTTTTTGGTTTTGCCTTCCAGTCTTTTTCTCATTCCCCAGTTGCTGGATTTGGTAACTAAAGAAGCTCCAGGCCATGTGTTTTGAGGGAAGGAGACCACTGAAATGATGATGATTTGAACCTATTTAATTTTATATTTATTTTCTTTTTTTCATTTTTGTATGGGAGTGAGGAAGGTAAAAAATCTAACTTCTACTTAGCCCCAGATATCCATTCCATTCCCTGCTTAATATCCCCACCCCACCTAATGTTTTAATTTCTTGCTTTCCAATCCCAACTCTAGTAGCAATAAAAATAAATCATGTTCTTTTGCTTAGGCACAAGAGTTCAATGGAGCAACAAAGTATGCAGGTTGGGGGAGTGGAGAGTGAAAATTAGGCTTCAAGTTGATAAAAAAAAAATCAAAAGTTGTAAGGACTAGCAATAAGGAATCAGTTTCCTAGGAGATTTAAAAGAGAATCTCATGTTATGAACATCAAATAATAAAAAGCAACAAGATGAAAGAGAAACTAGTGGAAAATTCATAAAACAATTTCATCTAACAAATTACAATAACTTAGCATTAATCCAAGTGTTTTCATAATTAGTTCAAAACAAAAACAAAAAAATAATAATTAAGAAAAAAATTTGCTTTAACTAAAAAATTACAACTCAAAACAAATCTCTCCAAGGAAGGATTATTTAATTCCAGCTTAGGTACCACAGACATCTAATAAAAAGAAAAAGAAAAAAAAAGAAGAAAAAGAAAAAGAAGAAAAAGAAAAAAAAAAAAAAAAAGAAAAAGAAAAAAAAAAAAAAAAAAAAAAAAAAAGAAAAAAAAAAAAGAAAAAGAAAAAAAAAAAAAAAAGAAAGAAAAAAAAAAAAAAAAAAAAAAAAAAAGAAAAAAAAAAAAAAAAAAAAGAAAAAAGAAAAGAAAAAAAAAAAAAAAAAAAAAAAAAAAAAGAAAAGAAAAAAAAAGAAAAAAAGAAAAAAAAAAGAAAAAGAAAAGAAAAGAAAAAGAAAAAAAAAAAAAAAAAAAAAAGAAAAGAAAAAAAGAAATACAATTTTAAAATAATAAGAAAACATTCTTAAATAATTTAAATGTCTTTGAAATTGAAGTTTGGTTTTATTTGAAAGGTAATAGCCTAAAGCTATTCAATATGAAAAGAAAAAATAGGTTTCCATTCCATATAAATAAACTTCTTAGATATCCTTAAAACATTGGCACATTTCCATTTCACACATTGAACCACCATTTTCTACAAAAAAATGTAAACCACAAATTTTTAAAAAATCTTAAATATTTGTCTGAGAGATGTGTTTCAAATTAGTAAATTCAAATATTAATTACTTGGATTTTGTAAAAGTAATGCTTACATTTGCTTAAAAGATAATGAAAATAATGTTTATTTTCGCATATTAACCTGTGATCAGTCATCACTGTCAAAGGTCAGTAACAGTAGTTTTCTACTGGCAGTGCTGACAAATTCTTTTTAAAATTAAATAAATATGAAATCACTAGGAATGTAATAATCAAGAAATTGGTATTTATGATTAAAAATAAATTATCTTTAAAATTATTGAATAGCTTAAGAATATAAGGTTACATTCTATACACTTTTATGAAAATTAGTAGAAAGAATGATTTTATTTTTTATATTATATGAGATGTATAAAAAGAAGTCAATTAAAAATGGTGAAACTTTCAAGTTTAATTCATTGTTTTTAGTTTTCTATTCTTTCCTGACCTGTTTAATGTCACAAAATTTTTTAACTGTCCCCAATGAGGAGGTCTTTTTTAAGTTTGTTGTGGGAGTATGCTAGTTGAGTGTTTAGGTGGAAACATGCATCTCCTAGTATATTTATCCCACAACAAAAATGGTGGACTCAGTTTTCATTGGTCCAAAGAAAATTTCACATCAGCTCACAAATTCTTTTCTGTCTTTTTCCTCAGTTTGCTTGATTTTGAAGAGCATGAGTAAAGGGAGTTATTATTTTTTCACACTCACTACATCCTTTTCATTCACATTTTTTCTTAAAACATTCTTTTTGCTCACATTTTACAGATTCAAAATACTCCTAAAAGCATTGCCCTGCATTAAGCAGATCATTCGCTATGGCAGGAGTAATATTTTAAAATATGTTTAAATATTTAATAATATCTTTGTCTTCAGGTTCTGCCATGTTTTATGATTCCTAATGTATTAATTTGAAATTTATGCTCCTTAGAAAATTACAAGGAGTATTATTAAGAGAAAAGTAAATGATAATCTGGAGAATACATCTGGTGCAGAAGAACTTCCCATAGCCTCTTACTCCATTGCATTTTCCCTATGGTTTTGAGCATTGACAGGCAGAAAACTCACTAGTCAAGTTCCTTGCTCATAAAAGGGTGTGTTAATCAGACAAACCAATTTATCACTGAAGCATTTTTTTTAGTATCATTTAGTCAGTATTCCAGACATTTAAAATCATTTTTCTCCTTGAAGTTTTCAAGGGAGTTCCACAGACAAGTATGAGAAAAGAAACTATTAAAATGGAACTTACAGTTATATCTAGTTATTTCAACAGTAAAACAGAGACCTAATTGCCAATCTAGTACTACACTTAAATTCATGAGGTCAAAGTACCAAGAAGGAAAGCTCATTAGAATAATTGCCATGAAAATATTTATAGAAAAGCCAGAGGGAAACCAGTTTACAGTGGGGGGGGGGATGACTGAAGCCCAGAAGCCATTTCAATAATATTACAGACTGTTTTTTTGATTTTGGAAAAATCTTGAAAGATATATAGCAGGAGCACCAAACTGGATGTGGCAGTGATATTCAAGGCATAAAAAGATGGAATATTTTTAAATGTGCATGATGGATTATGGTGAGAAAAATTGTCTTGTACAACAAAATGAACCAACTTTCTTAGCAGGTGACCTAGCAATGGATTCAATATAATCTTTCCACTTCAGGTCAGCAGAAAAAGTGAGTTAAAGGTTAGCATCAACCATATTAATGGAAGCCAAAAATGATTCTCTAAGATGACTAAAATTCTTGTCTAAAGGCCACCAAGGTTGTCAGTTTTATGTAATACACAACACTCTTTAGGGTCCCCCATAGGTAAAACCCTAAAAACTATAAAAGACAAATTTTTCCTTTCCTGAAGTGTTTATACATTTTTTGGACTCCCTCTTTATCAATCTCTCTCTCTGTGTGTGTGTGTATATATATATATATATATATATATATATATATATATATATATATATGGATGCATGGCCAAGTAGTTAGAATGTTTGCATTCTGACCATGAAGCCTGGCTTCAAATCTCACCATGGTCAATTGGCTAAGGAGGTGACTTCTTAATGCTATTAGCCTGGGAAGATGACCCATTGAAAAGTGCCTGAAAAACAGGTTGACTGAAGCCTTGAGAGTGAAATATTTAGACAGAACTGTTAGGAAGCTATCAGTGGCTGTGCTAGCACAAAGTTATAAGTCATCGTGAACGAGACTGAGTGTACTTACCTTGTTCAACTGTTGATCATGCCAGATTATAAACACTCACTCTCCCCAAAAAACCATAGCTAACATCTGCTCAACATAGTTGCAGTATAAACCACAAGTTGGCTCTGTAAGTGTTGTTTTTTAAAGTTTTTAAAAGCATGTGATCTTTTTTAGAATGTATTTAATTTAAAAATGTATGTAATTTAAAATAAGCATGTAATTTTAAAACTTTAAAAAATGGAACTGAAAAAAAGCATATAATTTTAAATATGCATGTGATAGCAATAATTGCATTTTCTGTCTCATTGATATTTACAAATGAAAAGAAATATGCATATAATTATGACAACAGTGGATACAGATATACTTTAAAACAACATCCACACTTCTTAAAGTCATAACTATACTTAGTTTTATAGTTTTTATAGCTAACTAGAAATACCTGTGAAAATATCATGGTTTGGTTTGGTTTATGGCATATCAACCTCAATGGGTTATTTAATGCCAACAATTTTTATTGTTGGTAATATTTTTTTTTCCAAAAATGTATTGCTGGTAATAATTTTTTTCTCAAAAATTTATTGCTGGTAATAATTTTTTTTACAAAGTATTTTTGGTATTAAAACCTATTTTTACACTTCCATGGTGTTTTGACCCCAGTTTGTGGGTTAACTATTTAACATAGGTGGGACCCTAAATTGCATGGTTATGCTATTTGAATTTCTTCATAATTCTTCAGTTAGGGCTGAATAAGCTCATGGCAAGTTCTATGACAATAAAATATCTGTAGAAATTTCCCTATTACATCGTTAAATATTTGAGCTTAACAATTTTAACGAAATATTGCAATAACAATCATAAATATGAATGCTGGTTGTTATTTTAAGAAGTAAGGGGATACAAATAAAAAGATTTGAAATTGACAACTGCAACAGACATTAAGTACTTCTATCTTAACTTTCATTTTCTCACTGAAACCAAGTAAGCATCTTTGACATGTTTTTTCTGTCTTTCCATGCTATCAAAACGGAATAGTCCATTATTTATGAGGTATTGGCACAGCATTACAGTCATGCTTACTAAGGGAGGGACAACCATAAGATTATAGCTTAGTTATGACATCACATAATTTTATTTACAGATCATTAAAAATAGAACAAAAAAGAAGTTATAGCTTTTACTCACAATAAGATGCTGTCGAGCTTGATAGACACTCTCAATGGGACCAGTAATGTAGACTGTCCCTTTCCGAAGTGGGTTGACATTGTTTGGTTCCGGGAAATAGACACTGGCTCCTGTCCTCTGCATTATTTGTTTGATATTCATATCACCTCGGCCAATCATAAATAAATGGTGTTGGGGAGCAATTTCTAATTGCATACTTACAGGTAGGCTCACCTAAATACACAGAACAAAAAAAAAACAGGTTTTCAAAGACAAAAGGAAAAGTATATGAAAAATAACAGTAGATAAAATATAAGGGGAGAACAAACAGGTGTCACAAGTTGTATATGGGGTACTCAGTAAGGATCAAAGTCACTACTCAGAAATAATAGTCAAGCAGATTAGCCTCGTTAACCAATACTCCATGCTTAAATTGTTTGGTTGATTTTATATTGACCTTTGTTATTTTATGTTGCATTTTTGTATGGTACACTCAGGGAGGTGTGAAATGAATGCTCTATAATAATGGTCAATAATGGTCAACCAGACTAACCTTGCTAAGTAATACCCCACACCAATATTGATTGATGGATTTTATGACATATTCCTTAGTTCCCCCACCCCATGTACATTGAGGTGAACCATCTTCATTCCTTTTGTATTCCTTTAGTAAGAAGCATATTTCACTCAGACAGGTTCTTCCCAAGAACTGTTGCTTTGCAGAACAGAATCCTAGGTGGATGCTTTTCTGATTGCTACAAACCTCATTAAGTCTAGGGTTAACCATTATCTTTCCCACATATCAGCATTAACTGCACCTTTTACACTTACCGCTCATACAACAACCAGCATCAGTAAGCCTCTACCTTGAGTGGTCATGAGCCTTGCATAGGGTGAAAAAAAAACCCCAAAAAACTGGCTTGTAAATTCTGTCATATCATTATCATCAATTAATTCCTGATCTTTCACTATTTTTGTTGAACAGTTGCACTTTCAATGAGACTTAATTCTGTAAACATCTATTGAATTACAATTACATGCATGTATAAGGTTCATTACTGTCAAACTCTCTGCCTTGAGCACAGAAGAACCTGGATGGGGCTTTGCCGAAGGGCAAAGTTTCATCTGGGGAGGTAGACAGGCCCTGAACTCGTTTATGTGGGTTCAAAGGAAATATTTTTTGGCCGAGCCTACAGGCTCAGAAAACCCATGGTAAACTCAGCCTTGTGCCAAATACAACCCATGTTGGCGTTAAATATAAGGGTGTATTTAGGCAGCTAAAATTAACCTTTACCATGCTATTTTCTTTCTAGAATTGTTCCCCTGCCACTACACCTTTTTTTGAGGGTGCAAAAACATGAACACCTACTGTTTTAAAATTGTTATAATTTTCTTTGTATTGTGTGTATAGATTTTCATTTTTGTTCACTAATAAAAGCATGGATGAGTAAATATTTTGGTGTTTTGCATGCATGTTTTGACTTTGAAAACAAAAAAAATTGAAACGCAAAAATAAAAAACAAATACATTAAAAAATACATAGATAATTCAATGTACTTTAAATTTTATTATTCCATATGGAGTTCTGGGGTGCAATAAGAAGCAAAATTGCTAAGAAGGCTTTCATTTTGTCAAAAACATGACATATTTCCTCATGTTTACATACAAGAAGAGACTAGCATTTGTTTGCTATTTCTTTCACCTGACTCATATATTTATCTCGTTGATGAATCTCGAGTAAAGCCTTCAAAATCATCATCGGAGTCCTAATCAAAGGAAAACTCCTGTGTAAAGGCTTTGTTGGATATTGATGCAGCCATTTTTTGTTTACAGAAATCGCGAAAAAATTAACGTGGATTTAATCAACCAGTTATATGATTTAGAAGAATTCAAAATGTCATTTGAAAAACAGAAGTTTAACTTTGTTCCAAAGCAGTAGTAGGCGATTTCCAGCTTAAAATACTGGAAATAACAGTTAACAAGTGTTTGTTTATAGCAAGCATCTCAGGCGACAGAGTGTCCTGAAGTAACAAAGGGAGAGAATTCTGCCGCAACAATTTTTGCTTGCATTGTGATAAAGGTAAAACATCTATTGAATTACAAGTTCATTCCAGACCTCCAAATAGAATTCCTATATATGATCAATTGTTAACAATACTAGAAAAATGGTTGGCTCATTCTATCACTCCAGGAAGTACCCAACAACATCTACCATGCTTTACCTTTAACAAGAATCAGATTAGACCAAAAATGTATTATTGCTACAACATATTGTCTGGAGCTGCCCAATCCTCACTTTTTAAATAAAAATAATTTCATCCCAAGCAAAGCAATAAAGCCACTTATATACAAGAGGTGGCTGAGTGTTAAAGAATGAGAAAAAGGAAACATTATTAAGGAGTGAGTGTATTTTGATGATATTTAATACCAAAACAGTTTTTCTATCTCTTTTAAATCATAACTCCTAGTTACTATTCAATTTTCCTTCAAGGTCATTGTTACAATCCAATTTCTTTTGTTCAATTTTTATTTATTTTAGATTAGTTTGTAGAGACTTGATTATTTCAAGAAACCTATAATATTAGAAGGGTTTATGCTCTGAAACAATGTTGTAAGGTTTGGATCATTAAGGTGAGTGAACAATAAAAGAACAGTAATTAAAAATACAGAAGATAATGAGGGTCAGAGTTTAGGGAACTAAGGAATGTAGCTTGTTTTAACATTTCCCGTGGAAATAGAGGTAAAATAGTGAGAAGGTTGCAACATTTCATCTGTGGGAAAGGAGTTGTAGGGTGGCAAACAATTCATCAACCAAAAGGTTGTATACAAAATTTTGGGCTCTATCAAGCCTGGAAAGTGAAAAAAGGGCAGCACCAACCCAGTTATGATAACAATATGCTATTTTCAGCCTGATTTGGCTCTTGTAAAGGTAGTGCATAGCAGGAGGAGCCAGGTACAAGGAACCAACCATTTCTCCAGCATCTTTAGTGATGGATTGTATATGTATTGTTTCACTTGAGGTCTGAGGTGAGTTTGAGTCCCAATAGGTATTCAAAGCAAGAAGCCTCCTTAGGAGAACACCTATTCATTACAATAGGTAAAAATTCAAGGCCTGCTTGATCACATCTAAAGACTATCTCAGCTCCAGTATATTAGTATGATTAAACCGTATAATAATTATCAATGTGTATTTAAATATTTCCTGTCCCATCTGTAGTGGGAAGGGAGGTAAATCAAGTTAATAAGTTTATGAGTGATTATTTCCCTTAGTCATTTTAATAGTCTATACAAATAAAATTGCATTTAAACAAAATTAGTTCCTGAGCAAAATTAACAATTTAATCAGTTCCTTTACTCTTACATTTCTTAGATTACAGTTTTATTTGTTCAGAATGTTCAGGTGAGACGCTCAGATAGCTTTGTCTATTAAGTGACAATCTTGCTTCAACTTGAAATAGGCTTTGTTCTTGCCATCTTTGTTGTTTTATTGCTAATCTTTCTCTTCCAAGAAACATTTCCATTTCACTGTTATTTTACATAAAGTTTTTTTTTTAACATAAAAGGATATTGAGCAGAAAGAGATTTATATAATATCAGGAGTACTCAATGACCCATAGATGCCATTGAACATCTAAAAAATATAAAAGGAACAGATTAATTAAACGGTTAATTTACAGTATAAGCACCAAAAGTCCCCAGTATTGAGAATGTACCATTTTGGTTTGAAACTGTCTGGTTATTTTGAAAATAACATTAAAACATTGCACATGATTATCGTTTAGAAGTTATGGACAATGCAAATTCAACTTCTTTCTCATCGTATACACAGAATGTCCGCCATTACTGGCTTTGTTTACATACATTTGCCTCAAGTCAGTCATGCATCACGGAAGTTTCACTTGTCTTGATTACTGTACAATGCACAAAATTTGAAATGAATGCACAAGATAATTTGTGAAAAAAAGTAAAATCCGGCAATTAAAATAACAAAAATTACTTTCCTGAAAAGTAAAAAAAAGATTTTTTCCTTTTTTCAATGAGGGTTTTCTTTTTTTTGTTTTTCATGTGTTGTGAAAGTTTCTTGAATTTAAAGCTTTACATTTTAGGGTGAGATTCTGTTTTATTAGCTATAAGCAGATTTATAAAAACAGTAAAGAAAAAATACTATTCATTTAAAATTTCATTTTAAAAAATAAGTATATTTTAAAATAACATCTGTGAAAATCATGCAGTAATCAAGACCAGTAATATACAAAGAACTGTAAAAAAAAAAAAAAAAAAAGTCTTTAACTAAGTAAGCTTCCACACATTATTATGAGAGGAAAACATGTAAGCAATACCTGTAATGGTGGCCGGACAACTTGAAAGAGATGAAACTTACATTGACAATAAATTGAAAATGGTAATTGAGTGCAATGTTTCAATGTCATTTTCGAAATAACTAGGCAATTTCACACCTGAATAGTACATTCTCAATACTGGGGACTTTACTACAAATTAACCAATTAAACAGTTCATTGGCCTCTGTTTTAACAGTGAATTCTTTATCTCTGTTCTGTTGAATCTCAATACATTGTTTCAAAACTTGTTTCATTGCATCTTATTACAAAAACTTTCTAACAATTGGCATCATTTTTGACAGCAGGTATACATGAGTTATTTATGTCTTGTCATTAACAATAACTCTTCAACTATAACTTTTGTTTTAAATGTTATTATGTCAGATACAAGTATTTAGATAGGGTTGGCAATTTTTGAAGCATTATTTTAAACTGGGCCAGTGAAAAATTCAAAAAGTGGAAGGAAATGGAACAATATCTGACCGTACTAACCAAAAGTAGTTTAAGTATTTTAAGGGCGGCGGTTTTTCTGAAGCCCACAAGTAGACAATCATCAATTGTCAAATTAGGATTCTTTAAAACAGAGAAGCCAGTTAACAATATGAAAAAACCTTCTGATTTAGATCAAACTCACAAGATTAACAAATACATCAGCTTGTTAACCATTGTATTGTTTTTTTGCTAAATGCTAAAACCCAGTTAGAATCAAACATGAAACATTAGCCAACTGGTGCAACACAATTTTCCTAATCACAATCACTCTCCTCAATTTGACCTTGTGCCACACTTAATTTTGCAAAATTAAAAAAAAAAAGCCAATCTCAAGGCTTAGATAAATTGTAAACTATGTTCAAATCAAAGTAGAATGTTAGGATTTTAAAGGTAAACAAAGTAGAATGTTAGGATTTTTGTAAATTCCCCTAATCAATGATTGAATCCAAAAAATGTCAAAAAGGTAAACTCTCCCCAGTTGATAGATTGGTGCAACATGATCTTACACCTATTTCTTTGTATATTTAGTAAAAAGCACAAACTACAATATAATTGTAAATTTCCCTCTAATCAATGATTGAATCCAAGTAAAATGTCATGATTTCAAAGGTAAACAAACTCTCCCCAGTTGAAAGATTGGTGCAACATGATCATCTTATTCTCCCTAAGTTTAGTATATAACAAATCTAGCCTTTGGATGCCAGAATTACTCAATACCTGATTGGTCCCTGTTAAGGTTAAGAATGGGTATAACATCTATTTGTTGTTATTACAGCTTGAATAGGTAGATAATTATGGGAGAGTGGTTGGTTTGCTCATTCTCTTCTCTGTCAACTATCATAGGATGTTTGTGACAAAACATTCTTTTCAAGATAGCTGATGAGATAGAGCATAGAAAAAAAAAAAGTGGATTTTACCCCTCAAAAAAAAAAAAAAATTATATCTATTTTTGAAGTACCTATCCATTCAAGCACTCATCCATACTTGAGAGGCACTCAAAAAGGGGAAATGGTTTCAAAACTTCTTGAAGATAAGCCACCATCATGTCTTATTTTAGTCTTTTTTTTTTTTTTTTTTTAAGACTGTCTTCTCACTTGCAAATGAGGGCCCACTCAAAGAAAAAGGGGATAACATTTTATAGTGTTCATAAAACTAAACCTCGTCAGATGCTATGATCTATAGTTCTTCTTTGCTCTTGTTGACCTTAACAAGTGTGGCATCTCAGACAGGACATGTTGCTCACAATCATTGCACACTATTCCATCTTGCTGATTAACAGTTTTCAATAACATACACAGTGATAATAATTATTACATACAATTACAGAAATTAGGATCTGGAATTGGAATGAAAGCAGCAATGGTATGTACCATGAACTCATCTTAAAAATTCAGAATGTGCAATTACTAAATACAAAACACTTGAAATATATCAGTGCATGAATCAGTCATATCAAATTTAGTATAGGGAATTGAACATAGAAGAGGCTGCACTAGGGGTAGTTTTGTTCAGCACTGAAAACTGCGACAATATTATTGTATGGGGCACCTAGTGAGGATCAAACTCAATACTCAGTAGTAATGGTCAACCAAATTAACCTTGCTAATCATTACACCACACCAATATCAGTCGATTGATTTTATGACATATCAACCCTTGTTAGATTATTCAATATTGAATTTTGTATGGGGCACCTAGTGGGAATCAAACTCGGTAATAATGATCTAGCAGACTAAATTTGCTAATCAATACCCTGCACCAGTACTGGTTTATTTTTCAAGATATGAGACCTTGTTGGGTTACTTAATGTTGAATTTTTGTATGGGGGCACCTAGTGAGGATAAAACTCAATACTCATTAGAAATGGTCCAACAGACTAGTCTTGAGAAACAATTACCTGCAAATGAAATAGATGTTTTTTTTTTTTTTTTAATGCAAGCTGAATCCCTATTTTCAGAACTGCTTCCAAAAAGAAACACTGGAAGTTTTTTTTTTTTTTTTAAAAATGGTACATCTAATTGTACTTGCTAGGCTTTGCTGTCCAAATTGTGAGATGTTGACCATTATGATCTTCTGTGCTGTGTCCCTTTGAGACATAGACAACCATGGCTCTCCACAATTTCCTATCCTTTGTAGCTATTAGCAAGTTTTGTATTTTTGCTATCTCTCCTAATCCCTGTCCTACCAACCATTTACACAAGTTCATTAGGCACACTATTTGCTGCTTTTCTCTGCCCCTCCGTCAAATTTTCTATGCTCTCTTTCCTAGAAATTTCAACTATCTCTTTCTGATGTTAAATACATGCCCTTTTTGCTTCCATTTTCTCTAAAACTTCATCATTGTTTACATGTACAGGCCATGGTATTCTCAGTATCTTTCTGTAGAACCACATTTCTGTTGCTTTAAGTCTCTTCTTCATAAAGTTTTAATCCGATATAACACCCTCTACCATTTTTCATATTGCCCATAAATAGAGGACATTAATCACTTACCCCAACACTGTTCATAAGATGCTCCATAAGTCGGGCTGTAGCCTCCTTTACCATTTTAGCATTGTAGACTGACCCTCGGACAGTGATAATGGTCAAGTATGTGCGTGGTTTCTGTTTAAAGGTGATGGTCACATTATACAACTGCTGTAGATGTAACAAGTGAGATGAAGATGGATCTGGGTAAGGGGGTGACAGGGACATTTCAAATATGAACACAAGAGGAAGTAGATCCTAAAAGAAAAAGATAAGACAGGTATTAAAATCTTATAATGACAAAGAAATTTTTTTAAAAAGTGGTTTATTTGAAAACATCATAATGAAAATGGAATGCAATGCCAAATATGATTTACACCGAGTTGGCAAAAAAACAAGGAGAAAAGGTTGTCTTCATTTTAAATGAGGAAAAGTTAAAAATGATTTGAGGTAATGAGATCATACTCTTTGTTTTATCTAAGACCATTTATAGTTAAGGCAGAATTTTACAACAGTCACTCTAATAAAAAATAATAATTTTGTTTTCATATTACTACAGGGTGTAGCAGAAATTCCTCCCACATAATTGCAGTATAAATCTGTTATAATGCTCGTATCTACTCATAGTTCAGGGTTAATAATATTCCAAAAGAAAACACTGAAACACAAGATTAGTGAAAGAACTGTTTAATCATGTGGATTAATATTACAATACTAGAAAATATCCTTGTGCAACACTCTGTACAACTACTGTGCAGCACTTTATGTCTTGCTTGTGACTACTTAGCTAGTCAATGGAATTTTCTATGTTCAACACTTTAGTGTAGCAAAAATTAGTTGTTTTTCTATATAACAAAAGCACAGGTGGGTTCTACAGGTGTTGAAAAAAAAAACACAAATGTGCCAAAGCAACTGTCTGCAATAGGGATTGGCTAGCTGACCTAGTAGACAGCATACTCAGATATGAGTGGACAGCAACGACCTCCCACATAATGGTAAGATGTCTTCATCTAGCTAATGTCTTACAACCAAGTATTTCTGCCACATCCTGTATATGTTAGTTTCAATCTGCTAGGAATGCTGGCTAAGGACATCCCTCTCTACAAATTTATAAACAAATCCTACAGATGCATGCTGGGATTTCTTGCTAAGAACAAAAATGGACCAAATCTCAGTCTCATCCATCATATTTTTGTTCCTTCTTGTCCTGAAGTCAGAACACTATAATCACTTGACTGTATCCCTTTTGTGTGTGAACATAATTCTTCCTTTGTTAACTTTTTGCCTAGTTACTGTTGCTTTGTCTAGTTTTGACTTGCATATATACTGTTTGCTTGGTATTATTTTGCCCTGTTCTTTCTACTTCCTTTTTCATACAGAAAACAAATGCACAACTATTTCAACCACAAGGCAGTTCAAATGATCAACATACGTACTCTAATCTGTATTCTTGCACTGTCAACCCCACTTGGTTGACCTGCTATTGAAACCTGAAATAAAGAAAATAGAAAAATCAGTATAAATTGAATATCAAGTAGAATTAAATAAAAATTTCTTGCATGACTCAAAAAAATACAAAATATTCTCACATCATGTTATGGGTCCTGTAACTGTGAAATTCATAGATGCACCACAAAACAGCAGTGATATCTCTAGGGCAAGATAACCTGACAGAGCCCATCCCGCTTTAGAATTTTGAATTCAGAGTTTTTCTTAATCTACACTGGTTGCAAACAGAGCCTAGTCAACCCTGTTACTTAACCCATAGTTATGGGGATAAGATATGAATGCATACCTTTCCCAAAGTTATTTGTGTGAAAGTGAACATTGCAAACTTGATAGGAATTCAAACCTGACTTGCTGATTTCCTTTTGTAAGTTGTTACACTAGCCACCCACCTATACTATTATTTTAGAAAGGGGGTCCTGCTCATAATATAAATACAGTGTCAAATTGATCCCTGACTTCTTAAAGAGTTACCTGTACTTTATTTTTATTTAGGAATGACAAGTTTGAAACTTGCTTATGTCACTGATAATTGTATACTACTACTACGAATTTGGGAAAAAAGACAATATCAATTGTACAGAAAAAAGTGCTTTTTTTTTAAATATGACAGAATGGTTATTGAAATTTTGGTGAGTTTTTCCTAGTGTCAAATGAATTGTTTGAGGTGGAAACTTGTAAAGGGATTTGTTGACATAAATGTTAAGATCTTAATATTTAAATTTCAACATCTGTCCTATTTAATAAAACATGATTTTACACATAATTATACTGTTTAAAATTTATATCTATGGAGAAAGGGGCTCCATGTTGGATATTGAAGAGTTGTAGATATCAATAGTGCATGGAAACTTTCAGTTTCTCTCTCTCACACACATGGCTTACAGCCATATCATGTTGAAATACCAGTTCGCATATGATTACTGAAGTTAAGCAATGTTGAGCCTGGTTAGTATCTAGATGGGTGACTGCTTGGGAATAGCAAGTGCATTAAGCTTGGATGTGCTTAATGGATAATAACTTGGAAATGGAAATCAGAGAGCAGAGTTCCTATTCCAGTTGAGTTTGTTATATTCATTGATGTATAAATACTGTTGGGAAACGTATGAATAGACTTCTTCTCCCCATAGCTAGAGGTTAATTAGCAGGACTTGTATCAGTAAAAATAATTATCTCCAAAAAATTCCTATGCTATAAAGATATTTTCTGGCTTAAAAAGTGGTAAAAAAAAACAAAAAAAACAAATCAATCACACACACTGAAAAAAAAGTCTCCTAACCTGTCCCATTTACTCAAATTTGACCGGATAATCAAAGATCAATTTTAGGGAGAAGGCTTCTTGATTGATACAAGGTTTTAAGGTATGCCATACTTATGGGTTAAAGTACTCAATATTCGGATAGAGCGTATGTAAATACAAAAGTAGACATTGTGGTCAACACCCAGTGGTGAAAGTCTGTTTCATGCTTAAACACAACCTTCAGGACATACACACACACGCACACACACACACACACAGAAGGTGCAATGGATAAATTGTCATCTAAATTACACAAAAACCTTCCAAACCTTCTTTTTTGTTAGTGTACAAAGTTAACAGCTTCATTATTTTATTTTCTAGTTAAATGTGCTACCCATTTTTGTTGTTGCTGCTGTTGAGAGTCTTCAAGTGATGTGGTTTTTGTTAAAACTCATTCTTTGTGATTTTGTAGTGCCAGCCTATAGGTTTTGATGAAGGATAGGCTTCTTTAAGATCTTGTAGTAATAAGTAAAGTTTAATGAATAAAATAAAAATATTTCCTTTATATAGAAATGCAAACTTATATTCTTCTTGTGAGACAGAGTTCCTAGTGGATGGTACATTGAGAGAAAGAGATAGAGAGCAAGACTCCTACATTGTCGCAGCAATCATCCTGATTAGTTCTATGGTGCTTAGTAGAGTAGACCTACCTGTCTCGCTTTCTGACAAAAGTGTAGGGAGACTGAACTTGAAGCTCTCTTTTTCTGGGTTTATATTGATGTTGATAAGTGGTCAAGGAATGCAGTGAGTGCAAGTAAGATTATCCTTTGTTTTAGTACAGGATCTTTTGTTTTGCTTATCCAAGTATCTGGTATCAGAAACAAAGTTAGCTGATTAACCTGTTGTGAATTGATTGATTTCTTTTCTACAGCTTATCAATCATTTGCAGGTTACTTAAAACCAGAAAATATTCAATAGTAAGAATTGTTTTTGAGATAATAATGGTGTAGTAATACAAGTCTTCGTACCTTCCCAAGGGTATTAGCACATAAGAGGATTCATACCTTGGGAAAGGTATGAATGCTCTTCTTCTCACCCCACACAGCTATGGGTAAATAGCAGGACAGACTGGGTTCTATAGCTTTGGATGGCAACTGGTCTACCACAGAAAGTAATAGCAACCTACTGCAAGAAAAAAAAATTGCCTCGTCAGTCATGTATCGAAAGGTACATGATCACCTAAAGGTGTATCACACATGGCACATGACTAAATACAAGCCTTACTAATTAACCCATAGCTGGGAGAAGAAGACATGGATTCTTACCTTTCCCAAGGCTGTTTGTACATAAGTGAATATAATGATTCCCAATGAAAATTGGAGTTTGGCTTCCCAATTCTGCTTATCCAAGCTTACAGCAGCTGGTATTCTCAAGCAGGCATCCCTCAAGATACTGACCAGGTTCAATATTGCTTAACTTCGGTGATTGTATGGGAACTAGTGGTTCAATATGATATGGCCATAAGCCTGAACCTGTCCTTAAGAATGCTAGTGTTCATATTATTGTGATGATACATTTCAGAGAAATATTTTTCTTGTATTTATCAAACTCTGCCTACTCCTACAACCAAAAGGATTCATTTGTTTGAAACCATTTTTAACCATTATTTTCATAAGCAAAAATAAAGAAATAAAAAGTAGCTTACCTGATTACTTTTCTCCTGAACATTGTTACCTCGATTAGAATCGGGAAAGTGGATGTGGCATCCTGTCCCCTGCATCACTTTTTTAATATTGTTCCCTCCCTTCCCAATGACGTGTGAGTGGTCAGTATGTGATACATCCATTTTTAAGGTAACACGGTTGCCCTAAAAACAAAGGAAAAAAAAAATATAATCAACATCAAATATGATGATAATTCTTCTATGTGCTATGTCCCTTCAGGACGTAGGCAATCATGGCTCAACACAATTTCCAATCCTTTGTGGTTCTTAATTTTCTCAAACCTGTTTTGCCATCCATCTACTCAAGTTCCCTAGGCAGACTATGCATTGTTTTCCTCTATGACTCTTGCCATCAATGTGTCCTATGAGTATCAAATTTTCCAAGCCCTCTTTCTTCATTATGTGCTCTAGAAATTTCAATAATCTCTTTCTGATGTTAAGTATAAGTATCCTTTTTGCTTCTGTTTTCTCTAAAACCTTGTCATTGCTCACATGTTCAGTCTATGGTATTCTCAGCATCTTTTCGTAGAACCACATTTCTGTTGCTTTAAGTCTCTTCATCTGTGAGGAGATTGTCCAGCATTCACTTCCATATAGGAGAACTGATATTATGTAACAGTTCAGTATTCTTTTCTAATGAAATTTTCCTGTTTCTTAATACTTTGCTTAGCTTTTGGAAGGCATCTTACACTATCCTAATGTGCCTTCAGATTTCCGTGTTGCACTTTTCATCTACTGTTAAAAACACTGAGATATTTAAATTGTTGTATTTTTTTTTTTGACATCTCCAATTTGTAATTAGCATGTTGGGCTGTCCCTTTTGCTGACAACCATCTTCTTGCAATTGATCTTTAATCCTATCTCCTCACTTTCTTTCACTACATTCTGCAGAAAATTTTGTAGTTTCCTTTCTATGTCTGCTATCAATACTCTGTCATCTGCATAACTTATGTTGTTGAGACAATAACAAATCTTGGTAGGACTTCTAATTCTCTCAGAATTGCCTCACTGTAAAGGTTAAATAAGTCCGATGAGAAAACACATTCTTGCTTTACACCCCTTTCTATTTTTATATATTTTTAGTCAACTCATTAATAACTATCAGATTTTAAATCTAATATTAAGTATAAAAATTAAAATAAAAAATTCACTATTAATTATAGGTTTCTACCTATTACCCATTAATGCCAACTGTAAAATCTGATATCAATTATAAAAATTAAAATAAAAATCTACAAGAGAATTAAGTTCAGTACTCTTTTCTTAGTTTCTAACGAACTTGTCATTTGATCTTTTTCACTACTGCTAAGGAAACTCTGTGCTCTTCCTTCCTGATGTAATGGAATAACCTGTCACCCCCATGAGTGACTACACTATAGGTAGTAACTTCCTATAAGTATCTTTAAGTCAATGGACTACAGAGTCTAGCTGGGATCTGCTGAGTCTGACTTAGACTTATGCAAGAACTACCAACCTTCCAATAGTAGCACTCACTACTGGATTGACCTGCGACAACCTTGTGTATAACTGTTACCTTTATTCATATTGTACTGGTTTTTAAACTAAACTTTTACTTATTTTATCCACCATGTTTTCAAGTATATATTCCTATTAGCACAGAATAGGACACACACACACTCTCTCTCTCTCTGATTATCTTCAAATATTCCAATTGAATGCATGTAAAATGACAAATCATATTTTTTTTTTTTTTTTACTAATAAAGCTTATTTGTGCTATTTTGGTAGCTTTTAGTGCATTCTGGACAGTGTCAAAACAAACTGGGTGGATCACTTGATACAAATGATGTTTATAAACAGATACCAAGGATTCTTTTTTGAAATACTTTTCAGATTCCTCATAAATAGATTAATTAATATAATAGTGGGTTACACACTCGTTGGTTGTATAATATTGGTTTGGAACAAAAGTGTGTTACCCTTTTCAATAGACAACAAATGAACCAGTGATTTCAGTTCACAGGTGATAAAAATATGACACACACATATTCTGAAAGTTGACATTTCAACACATTTTTCTATTTTTTTATTAGTATAAAAGTTATTTTTAGTGAATACAGTATTTGAGTTGCTATTTCTTAAACAGTGAAATTAATAACAATGGGTTTAGATTGCGAAATCCTACTAAATCCTACTTGTTACTAAGCCTTACTCCAGATAGCAACTCAAATTCTGTAACCACTAAAATAAAGTTTATAGTAATAAGAAATAATGCTGGATAAAAAGTCCATATACATCTTTCTATATGGATTGTGAATTTGAAATGTTTTTATGTTCAAAGTGAAATAGATGAAATTTAGATGCATTTTAACCATTTGAGGCTCTTATTTCCAGAAAGGAAAAAATGCTGTACAAACAACAACAAAAATATGTGTCATTTATGGAAATGGTGCCATAGCTGAAAGCAAGTACAGTTTGTAAGTGGTTCTGAAGTGGAAATTTTGATCTAGAAAACCGAGAATTTCCGAGATGCCTCTTGTCATTGATGAAGACAAAATTGAAAAGAAGGTTAAAAATAATCCAGGTCACATGACATAGGACATTTCAGAACTGCCAGTATATTGCCCATAACTACTGCTAAGAGTAAATACAAAAATCAAAATGGAATAGCAACAAAGGTACAAGCCTTCATCAAGCAACTGAAGACAAGTAGATAGGATGGCCATCGCCCGGTTCACAACCTCCCAAGTCTTTTAAACAGGAATAGAGATTTAAAACTTATTTCCTGTTAAGGATTGGGTTTTCAGTTTTTTCTAAAGCCTTTTCATTCTCTTTCCCTCCCAGTACCCTCCTGCGTCTTAGTAGCATTATCGCCTTGCTTTGAGTGAATTGATTAAAATAAATAAATTACTAGTCATGGCAAGAAATTTCAAGTTTTTTTCCCTACAATTTTGAGATGAATTGCTGTTAATATATAACAATTTTGTGTATTATTTTCAAAATACAAGCAAATGCAAACAAATACATGTTATTATAGTGGATAGTCGTTTTTAAAACAGACACCCCATTTTTATTCTAAAAAGTGTGTATTAAGTCTGTTGGAAGAGCTTAAATACAGCTCCAGGACTGAACCATTTTTAAGCAGCTGGGGTGCCAAGTCTCCTGCAAATGCAATGAGCTTCTAGGTATTTACCCTGTCTCCCCATTAAGATGAGTTGTGACACATGGTCTTTTTTAAGGTGGGGTCCCAAGTGCATACATCCGGGCTGGAAACAAAAATTGCCCACAGCTCCCACAACCGTTGGTTGCACTGGCCTCGGTGCGAGCACCGATCTCTCTCTCTGGTGCAATGAGAGGGCGTGGCCTCGGACAGCTGTTCCCCAGGGCTGGGCACCTCTCAGTATAATTTTTCTCAGTTGCAACTCTGTCCTTTGACGGAGTTACCCTTGAGTGCACTCTGCCCAAAGACATAGACGCAATTGAGAGATGATAAATAGATGTGATACAAACCCCAATGAGCTTCTATGTAGATGAGTGTATAACACTTGATAGTCTAAATAAGAACAAGTCACGTTTAGTACAGCATTATTATTACTAAATTGTCTCACCTTAGTATCTAGAATGCTCATAATTTTCTCCTTTGCTGCCTTGACATCATTTGGCATCCCAATAACTTTGATATGAGGATCTGAAAATGAAAAAACATTAAATATATATATATATATATATATATATATATATATATATATATATATATATATATATGACATACATGATGAAAAATGTCCCAAACTTTTATACTAAAAATCTTTAAGAGGAAAGAACAAAGGATTTTTTTGATTATTAAATTATATTTTTTTATCCTCTTTAGAATGTTTGAAAATTTCATTAAATTTTTGTTTTTCTTGCATCAGTAGGGAACCATAAATTAGTATAGGAAATTTTAGCATCGTTTTTTGCAGTGAAAAACACACTGATTTGGAAACTCTTGCAAAAATCAATTAATTGTTGAATTTTAATGAAACTTTCAAGACTTATTCACAAATAAAATTATTTTAGAAAATCTTGATAAAAACATCTGTTATCCCCACAAATGAAATTTTATAAAATTTTGAGAAATTAATTTCAATACAGCTTAATGTTTATATTAGTTTTAAGCAGAACTCCTTGAAGAATTTAAATCATCAATTTCTTTTTTTATAAAACAGGAACCCCAGTTACAAAAAATCTGCTCTAAATCATAAAATAAAAAAATGCAATAAAACTAAGTCATTATTTAATTAGAAAAACTTTTAATTGCTTTTACAAATAAGATATATTATAGATATCATTGTCTTAAGAAAAAAGTTATTTTCAATGAATAATGAATTTTTACAAAAATAGGTGATAAACTGAAATAGCCTGGACATATTAATCATAGGAAAGTCATAGCTCTTTCAATGCATCTTCATCTGAGTAAATTATAAAGGTGAGTCAAAAAGTAATGCAATTTATTTTATTTTGTAAGAAATAAGGAACACAATTAAAAATACCATACATCCAGATACAGCTATACATCATGGTTTCACACCCCTACTTCTCAACATAGTCATCACCTCTTTCAATGGCAGTGTTCTACCTATGATTGAGGGCATGTATCTCAGCTTCATAAAAGTTGGCTGCTGATGTCACCAATTCTTTACAGCAGTTTTTATTTCTTCAACGTCACCATAAGGTTTTCCCCTCAGTGCCTCTTCCACTGGATCAAAGAAAATGGAAGTCTGAAGATGTCAAGGTGGTGATGAAGAAATGAAAACTGCTGTAAGGAATTGGCTACTTGCATTTATTGTTTATTTGTTATTTTTTTGTTTTTCTGAGGTTAACTGTTGAGAAAGTAGGAGAACAAAGAGAGAGATTAGCACTGATGGTGTGAGATGGGACATGAAAGGAGTTGGAGTTAAAGGGTAGCTTGATTCTGTTGACCATTCTCAAAAGGGGACTGGACAGGGCTTTTTTAAAGAAAAAGAAAAAAATTCCCTGTTTTAAAGAAAATGGAGAAATTCCCAGTTTTAAAGAAAATTTCCCCTTTTTAAAGAAAATGAAGAAATTCTTAGATTTAAAAAAAAAAAAATTACCTTTTTTTGATTTAGCACCAATCTTTAATTTTGATGGCCATGTAATTTCTGTGTTAGTTTCATTCATGATCTGCAAAAAAACAACAAAACAAGAATGTTTAATAACAGCATAGATAAATGAGAAACAAGCTCAGTGGTAAAGCATAGGCCAAAAGTTTAAAGATGTTTGGAATTAAATATTATCATTAAGAATTAATCAGACGATCATCTTCATTGTGTAACCCCATTCATTGATCATTGTTAATGTAGCCCTATGCTCTGTGTTGGTCCTCAAGTTCCTTCAGTCACTAGTATCGTGATGGTAGGTACGGTCTCACTCATCTTAGTTGGCATTTGTTCATGACCATTCACTCCTCTGCCACATGTTTTTGATCTCAGAGGGTAAGAAAATCACTGATGATGCAAAATGAAGTGAAGGTGGCTCAACAGCTGGGACCTACACAAAAAAATTGAATTCTCTGGAATAAGAAATTAGCTCAGGTTAAAAATATAACAACCATTTGGTTTATATATGATTTGTTGTAAACAGAGGTTTTAACCCTTCTCACTTACTGATATAATCAAACGACACTGGGATCCACTTTTGAGTCTGCAGCTTGTTTTAGTAGTAACATAAATTTCTAAGTTCTGGTCTTCATGTCTGTCAAAAGGTCTTGTGGATTCCAGTAGCAGTAATGTGGAGACTAAGTTGTCCAAACCTCCAGCTTATATGGAGTCCTTCAGGGGTAGGGTTGACTAGGGTCTGGGTTCGGTTGTTTTTGACTGTTAGCGTCAACCTTTATCTGAAATTTCATATTCTCAAAATATATTTACTCAAATGGTTTTCCAAATTTGGAGTTGTCCAATCCTCTTTGGAGAATGGTCAACAGAATCAAGGTAACCCTTAACTCTAATTTCTTCATGCCCCATCTCAGACCATCACTCCATATTGGCAGTGCTAATCTCTCTTTTCCTTCACCCACTTTCTCAGCAGTTAGCCTATTCCTAGAGCTAGTGTGACAAATCCAACTTCTAGATGGTGGAGCAAAAACAAAAGGGATTTTCAATCATTAATCTTTCTTTATCAGTTTGTCCCATGCTGTGATTTCTCAATCAACAGTCCAAACAGGCATTTTGGTTCATGATCACTCCAAAATAGTAATTAATTTTTCTTTAATACTCATATCCAAAGAAATCCAAATTAATTTTTGGATATAAAAATTTTTTTCTGGACAATGTTACAGAAATTATAATGATGAATGTATCAAGCTGGCCTCTATCTCTGGGGGATACTTCTCTTCTGGGTGGCTGATTCAAACCAAATGTTTCTTTTCCTGGCGTTTTCATTCAGAACGGTTTTTAAATGATATTTTGGTGACCACCCAGATATCTTTATTGACAACCCGTTTTTTATCTGACATCTTCGCAGATGGATTAATGGTTTCTTTCTCATCGGGGAGAAGTGGGGGGGAGATAGGTAGTCTTGGTTTTGCTCAATCTTACTGAATTCTATCTAATTAAATTTGGGTTCAATTCTCTTTGGAATTATTTTAAAACATGATTTTTCAACACATTTTTAATTTTCTTCTCAACTTTTCAATCTATCTTCTTATGAATTTCAACAATTATCATCCAGTTAGTAAACTCTTTCCTCTTTCTTTTTTTTTTTTGTCTGATCAATCACCAGAGATCCCAGAATCACAGTTGTGGAAAGGAATAACAACCAAAGTGATCAGTACATGATGGTTGACTATTTCAAGACAAAAAAAATGTACACACTCAGAAGAAAAAGTAAATGAGTCTGATTTTCAACAAGTACATACTCTCTTCATAAACATCTTTCACCAATATTATCTATAATTTTAGGTAGTATCATTGACATACTAAATATTATTTGAACAATTTAGTATGTTAATGGCCAACATAGACATGCAGATAGTGTAGTAGTTATTGGCACAGAAAACAGAATCAATAAGCAAAGTTCAAATTCAAGCTTAGTCTTTTACCTTCACTTTCACACAAATACCATCAGCATGAATCCATCTCCTCTACACCCCCACTCATCTATGAGAGAAATAGCAGGGTAGACTGGATTCTGTAACCTTGAGTGGCAGCCAGTCTAAGAGAAGAGACTACTTGGAATTCAAAACCATGGAGAAGTTAATGGAAAACCATTCCAGTATCTTTCTCAAGATGTCATGGCAATTCACAGATAATGAAGAAAAGAAATATGTGGAGAATCAATTATTTACATCTTCAAGAGATAAGGTATCAAAAAAGAAAAAAAATATGGCCAAATTGAGCTTGTTAGAAATTTTTTTTCTTTGAAATAATATGTACTATTCTGTCTGAATTTCTGAGATGAGGAATTATCATTATTTATATTATTTACATGTGGACTATTGTCTTCAACTTTGTTATCATAATGTTTTGTCAGATGTGTCCTTCGGCCGTCTTCAGGTGCTTGTCAATACAGGTAACCTACAGGGAATTTTGAACTGAACCCTTTATTTAATCCATGGGTTCTATATGTTCTCATTCCACTGAAAATGTATAAAGATATCTAAGCTACTGCTTCTAATTCTGTACTTGGACTCAAAGGAAATGGGGCAAGCAATAACTGAGCAGTACAAACAGGGTGGGGCAAGGGTTTGATTCTGCCTGTCTGATCCCATGATACAGGGACCCTACTCTACTACATCCAATTTTTATGAGGTACTATTCATATAAAATACTAATTTTATTGTAACCTAATTATGTAAAATAATGGTTCATATGCAATAAAGGTGAACAACTAGAAAAATTGAAAATAAATACAATGTATCTAAATAGAAATTAGAGACATGTCATTTCATCTTAAATAAATCAACAATGTTTTGCAGCAATTTTTAACATCAACTTCAATTTTTTCTTGTTAAAAAGTTAAATAATTTAACACATTCAACATTATGAATATAAATTTTTTTGAGACTTAGCAATAACAAAACAAATTCAGATTTGGACACAAAAAAAAAAAAAAAAAAGCACCCACAATGATATCAAAATCTATGAAAATTTTTCATCATTTAATAGTTGTGCTTAGTTTAATTTGTAATGTATACAAATGTAGGTTTTGCAACAGTAAATCAATCCAAACTATAAAAAACATTTTCTAACAATGCTACAGTCACATATTTCATAATTAGAGAGTCCTAGTATCTGATAAGATATAACTTTATGTGAAGAACATCTCAATTTGATATTAAAATTTGAATTAAAATTTCTTCAATTTATTTATGAAACTGATTTTCTCAATTTTTTAGGATAAGAGGCTGGGATTTTGTCTGCTGTATCCAGTTCCTTTTAATTTTTTTCATGTGATTTTTTATCGTCACATGTTATGTCCTTGTGAGTAAACAAGTTACAAATGTTCACAGCTTTAGAATAAAATAAACTCCAAAGAACAAATGGATCAGAAGAAATTGAGAGAGAGCTGAGTTCAAATTCCAGTCGAATCCATTACATTCACTTACATGCTAATACCCTTGGGAAAGGTATGAATCCTCTTCTTCCCCCAGCTATCAGTAAATACAGGATAGACTGGGTTCTATAGCTTTGGATGACAACTGGTCTAGTGCAGAAAGAAATAGCAACCTAATGCAGGAAAAAAAATCTGCCTCGTCAGTCATGTATCGAAAGTTACATGATCGCCTAAGCGTGTATCACGCATGGCACATAACTGACTGATACTCTAAATTAAATATGATTTTTTTTTTATCTAATTATATCTTTAATAAGTATTAAGGGCCGAGAAAATTTCATTAGAAACAAAGAAGAAAGAGCTGGACTGCAAGATAATATCAACAATTTCCCCAAATCAAAAGGGAGTAGAATTAAAGCAACAGACTTATGGGTCTCTTGGAGGATGTTGAGAATGTAGCTGGGAATAAAGTCACAAGAAAAAAGTCACAATTTATGGTGGCTGGTAATAAAGTCATCTATTTCTGATTGATATACAGGGTGTCCATAAAGTCTGTGTGCAAAATTTATACCTTTATTTGTATTTGCGATAGAAACAATTTGTAAAAAGGATTAGAAAGAAGTAAATCTATACGTTTTTAAGGTTTTATTGAAATTTTATTTAAGTTTCCACATGTCCTCCATCATTAGCAATACAAAAAGTAATATCTGATTTTGCAGTTCACGAAAAAACATTTGCCAACTGATTTACAGTAATGCCTGAAATCACATTAGTTATTTTAGCTATACTTAAAACTAGGTACATTAAACTTTATAACATTTTTTACAGATTATTTCTATCGCAAATACAAATAAAGTTATAAATTTTTTAAAGTGCACACGAACTTTATGGACACCCTGTAATTCATAGTTAGAGAGTCCTAGTAACTGATAAGGAGACGTAACTTTATGTGAAGAACATCTCAATTTGACATTAAAATTTAAATCAAAATTTCTTCAATTTATTTATGAAACTGATTTTGTCAATTTTTGGGATAAGAGGCTGGGATTTTGTCTGCTGTGTGCTAAGCTTGTTCAGTTCCTTTTTAATTTTTTGCATGAGATTTTTTTACCATAACTTTTTATTCCTATATTTCCTCACACAGCCTTATGTATTTCTGCAATATTTTAAACTTCAAGTAAGTAATATTTGTTTGAAACCAAATTATATTTTAAATCAGCTAATATTCCTCAAATAAAGTTTCAGAAAATATATTTTATTTTTGAAAGATTTTTTTAATAAAGAGAATTACATTGCGATGACAGATGGCCAAAAATGGTGAATCTATTTTAGCAATTTCAAAACAAAAACTCTTTCCAGTCAATTTAAATTAGCTATGAAATGCAGAAAAAGTATTTTACTTATTGGAAATATTAAATTTAATCTATCAGCTTGAAATTAAAACTAAAATAAATGCTTCAAGTAAGATATTTCATTTTGAAAAATTAATTTTAAACCGTAGGTATCCTGTTTTTGTAACCATTTTGGTGTACAATGATATTTACTAAAATTGGTACGTTAATACACGCACAAATTCAAAATTCTTTTTAAAATATTAGGGTTTGATGAATTGTAGTAAACTTTGCCATTTATGATTAGTAAATATATATTTTACTTAATAACAATATCACCTAATTGGTACATATTAACAGAGAATTTTAAAAGATTTAAGAATTTATAAATTATTCTAATTAAAATTTTAAAAAAATGAAAACTTCAAAAATCAATTTCATTTGAAAGTTTTATTAAAATCCAACAATTGTTTGATTTTTGCAAAAATTTCCAAATCAATGTTTTTCACCACAAAAAATAAAATTTCCTGCACTAATCTTTGGTCATCTGCTGACGTGAGAAAAATAAAATTTTTAGCCAAAATTTCTAATGTTCTATAAAGAATTAAAAAACTCTGTCATCTTTCCTCTTATTAATAGCAAAGGTTTTGACAATAAAACTATGTTTTTGCAACAATTACAAAAGAAAAAATATGTTAAAATTTTAGTTTTTTTATTAAGTGCTTTAAAGGAATATTTTGCTTATCGGAAATTAAATTTAATCTATTCGAATTAAAACTAAAATGCAAGCTTCAAGAAAGATTTTTCATTTTCAAACATCCATTTTAAACATTAGGTATCACGTTTCTGTGGAAGTAATTATCACTTTTATGTTGTATTATTTTTCATAATTATTTAAGATTCCAAAACATTTCTAATGAATCCTAAATCAAAAATAATTAACATATCTAAGCAATCTTAATTCAAAAGTAAATGAATAAATACTGCCTTTACGATGTAACCTTTATTTATTCATAAGATAACCATCATTACACAGTTAATTTATATATAATATCTATCTAATAATAAAAATATTAGATAAGTATTAAAATTATCATAAATAATTATTAATAATTATAGAAAATAATATCTGTCTATATTTCTGAGATTAGGTATTATGTACACTATTTCCATTATTCAGACTATTCTCATCTTTGTCGCCATATTTATTACAACGTTTCAGCCATTGTACACTTCAGCCTTCTTCAGGTGGTTGGAATGTCAAACTTAACTCTTTATTTCGCTCACTGGGGTAGACTGTTCTAGTTCCATGTGCTATGTTTAAAGAATGTCATCAGTTATCTCCTGTTAATTTCCCTCTGAAAGTTCTCCACTGCCTTAACAGGGTATTGAATTCATACTCTTTGGCACAGAGAATAAAGGTGTTGATTAGATTCAGTGACAGAACCCAAAGAGTGTTAATTCAATACCTGGTTAAGGCAGTGGAGAACTTTCAGAGGGGAATTAACAGGAGATAACTGACATCCATTAAACATGGTACGTGGAACTAGAACAGTCTACCTCAGTGAGCGAAATAAAGGGTTAAGTTTGACATTCCAACCACCTGAAGAAGGCCAGAGCATACAACGGCTGAAACATAATAAATATGGCGACAAAGATGAGGACAATAGTCCGAATAATGTAAATAATATAGAAAATAATATAAAAATATAATTTAATTTTTGTTTTATTTAATGTATTTTGCTTGTGATGTGCTTTTGCCTGTTTTTAAACTTTCAATAACTTTTTTTTCTAATGTCCACCAAAAAAAGATTAAAAAAAAAAAAAAAAAAAATGATGCATGTCTTTTCTGAAATTCTGCCACAACATTGTAAGTGATATTTTTGCTAAGTGGGTAGGTGGATCTTCTGTTGTCAAGGTTCCTAGTTGTATCTTTTTGACACAGTTTTAGATCAAAGAGTAAGGCAGATGACTGCCATGGCAAAAAAAAAAAAAATTAAATAAAAATAATTAAAAAAATAATCCATGGATTTAGACCCCCCCCCCCCAAATTACATCAAAATCTGGAAAAAAAATTTTTCATCTTTTAATATTGAACTGTGCTTAGATTAATTTGTAACGTATATAAATGTAGGTAGAAAGAAAGCAAATGTTGATAAGATTACAAGGATCAGAAAACACAGTTCAGGAGCCCCAATCAAGCTTACCCCCCATCTCATCGGGGGTGCTCAGGTTGGTATATGCCAGCACTGCTGCAGTCAACACTATTATATACATATCTAATGTTGTTAAGATTGTGGTCTCCAATAATGAATCCTGGTAGCACTTCTAATTCTCTCAATTGCCTCACTGTAGGTTGAATAAGTCTGGTTAGAAAACACATCCTTGAACTACTATGTGCATAATGGTTAGCATGCTCATTTTGAAGGCAACTTCTTGAACATAGTAAGTTTGTGAATTTCTCTGGGTGCATTGCTACTTTGGCCTTGTGCCGGACTTAGAGAAAATCAAAATCCAGAAATGAAGACTCATTTCTGTCTTTAAAAGAAACGTTTGTCTAAAAAAAAAAAAAAAAAATTTTGTAGTATCTGAGCTTTTAGAGAAACTTGAACAGCAGAAGATGAATTTTACAGATTATTAGATGATTGCCCAAATACTTGTTCTCTTCCTGACAAACACAAAGCAAAACTGACAAGGAAGGAAGCCAACAAGCAAGGTTTGAACAAAAGTGGGGAGGTTCAAGCATAAAGGTCATTAATAAAAATAACAACAACCACCACCACCACAAAACAAAACAATTTCAGAATCAAGTATCAAAAACGAGGACAACTGAAAAAAAAGAAAAAAAAAAGAAGAAAAAAAAAAAAAAAAAAGAAAAAAAAAGAAAAAAAAGAAAAGAAAAAAGAAAACAAAACAACCCCCACCCCTCAGAAAACCCAAAATAAACAAGACATGAGCAAAGGGTGGGGGTGTAGTCTCTGCCCCTTTTGTAATCCTCTTTCCACCATTTTACTTCTATGAGGGAGAGATACCCGACTAAAATTCCTTATTTTAATACCCTGTGACCCCAGATCTCACCTCCCTCTCTCGCCAATCCCCCACAAGCTGTGTAGTGGGGGTGGGGGGATAATTAGGGATAATTTACTCGTTTATGTATTCACATCACTGAGTTAGAGAATTTGTTAATATGTTGGCATCTTCCTGCTGATATTTATCATAATTGGCTGAAGGGGATTTTACAAGTATAGATTATTTGGGACATACAAACAAGACTGAAATTGTAAAAAGAGAAATTATCATTATTCAAATCCACATACTCATTTTAGTTGTTATATTTTCAATGTTTCAGCTGTTGTACTGTCTGAACTTCTTCAAGAGTGATGTCTGAATATTAAAGTGAGGAATTATTATTATTATTATTATTATTATATACCTTTCTATTCAAATTGCCATACTCATTTTGGTTGTTATATTCACATTTTGGCAACTGTACCCTCCGACCATTTTCTCAAGACATTGAAACAAACCCTTTATTCAAACCACAGTCATAGAGTTTTTTTCTCATTTCACTTTCCATGCTTAGGGGTTAGGATTATTTAGTAATCACCAGTTTTATTCACCTTTGTGCCACTTGTCTGTTCCTTCTACCTAATCAACAACCCAGGGATTGAACTTCAACAGCCAAGGAACCAGATATGTTTTAACTACTACTTTAATCAACAAGGCCATGTGGATCTTGGACAATCTAGTTTTCAAATTATTGGCCCTTAAACTTTATTTATGTAATCAGGTAGTAGAATTTCTTTTCTGTCCTTCATTTCTAGATCTAAGACTATGAGAGTTCAGTGAGAGAAACAGACAAGTGACACAAAGGTGAATAAGACTGGTTAATTATTAACTGATATGAATTACCTCCCCTAAATATGAAGAGCAAAATGAGAACAATCTGTCCCCTGAATTGAATAAAGTCCAGTTTGAAGTTGCAAAAAGGTTACTGAATACAACAAAGACACCTGACAATGACTGGAGAATACAATGGCAGAAACATTGTGACTACAATAACTAAGTCTGAATAGGAAAGTATATAACTGTTCAGTTTTGAGTTAAAAAAAAGAAGAAAAAAATGAGAATGATAGGAATTTTTGCACGCATCTAATATTTTAATACTGGATTGTGTAATATTTTTGGTGAATTATTTGAACCAATATTGTCATTTTTATTACATTGGGTTTTCAATCTCTATAAAAAGTATTTAAAAAATGAAATACAGAAGAAAAAAGAAAAGCAAAACGTAAAGAAAAAAGAAGAAAAGAAAAAAGAAGAAAAGAAAAAAGAAGAAAAGAAAAAAGAAAAGAAAAAAAAAAAAAAAAGAAAAAAAAAAAAGAAAAGAAGAAAAAAAAAAAGAAGAAAAGAAAAAGAAGAAAAGAAAAAAGAAGAAAAGAAAAAAGAAGAAAAGAAAAAAGAAGAAAAGAAAAAAGAAGAAAAGAAAAAAGAAGAAAAGAAAAAAGAAGAAAAGAAAAGAAAGAAAAAAGAAAGAAAAAAGAAAAAGAAAAGAAAAAGAAGAAAAAGAAAAAGAAAAGAAAAGAAAAAGTAGAAAAATAAAATAAAAAATAAATAAAAAATAAAGGAATCTCTGAAGCAACAATCTCCAAATTCTTCATTATGAAAAAACAATTTTATAAATGAATAAAGTAAAGAGGTGATGAATCATCAGTTACCAAAAAAATTGTTGCTCAGTATGTATTAGTTTTTGCTTTTTTTTTAAAAAACAAAAAGTTATTTTCATCTACTCCACAAAAACAGTAGTAAAGAATGTTATTTTTTTACTTTGAAAAAAATAACGTCTTTGTAATATCCAAATTCAAGGTCTTCTCACTCATGCTGGAAGAAGCCCCTTCCTGGTTGACCTCCACCATTTCCTATCTCTAGCCATACTGGGCCATGTGGGGATGAGGTATCAGGTCAGACAGCCGTGCCATCTTGCCTTTGCCCATCCTCTAGTTCTTTTCCATAATATAATTCAATTCTTGTTGCATCACCATTGGTAAACTGAAATCCACTCTACTCCACTCTGAAGAAGGCTACCTTGCATACTTTACTTCATTTTGCTTTTTGTTTTGTTTTACATAAGTCAAATAAAAATATTACTTTCCTAAATGAATGGATAAAATTAAAATGAATAAGTTTTCTTTTTCTCTTTCTTTTTTGTGTTTGTAAACAGTAAGTGATCCAGAACAGAAATGTTCAATTACAAAAACAAAACAATACCATGATTATATTGAGAATAAACAAATACAGGTTGAGTATCCTTTATCTGAAATCCCAAAATTTGAAAACTTCCAAAATCTGAAAGTTTTCATCTACTGACATGTCACAAGTGGAAAATTTCAAAAAGCCCAGCTATGTTAGCACCTGGTTTTTGTTAGCAATTGTCACAGCAACAAACAAATTTATTCATGGATTACTTACCAAGTGTTTCACGCTCAGTAAAGATATTATTCAAAATATCAAAAGTCCTGTATTTATATATTTATTTGTAAGAAGGGATCATGTTTTTTAGGACACGTACAGAAAGTACAAAACATTATTTTTACATGAAATCTTAATTTATCCACTTAAAAATCCATGTGAGCATTACATGACTAGCTGTATCTTTATGTAAACAAAATTTCTAAAATTTCATATAAAACTACCTTCAGGGTATATTTATAAACTGTGTTATGAAATGATAGGGGATATTGTGTTTATACTTGGGTTCCATTCTCAAACTGCTCTATACAAATTAAATAGCCTATATTCCAAAATCCCCGCAAAAATCTGAAAATCAAAGCACTTCCGGTCCCAAGAATTTTGGATAAAGGATTCTCTCTCTACGAAATGGTCTGATGGACCCTCATACATAAATAAAAGAATCCAGTATATATTTGTGGAAAGTTCGATTGCTATACACAGCCAAACTCTCTTATGTAAAAACCATTAAATTTAGTCTATACAATTTCTTTTTACCTTTTATGTTTCTCATAGGAAAAGATCTCTACCTCTTTATTGTAACATGGATTTATCTTTAACAGTAACAATTACTATTTGAAACTTTCCAGTGAAATACTACAATTTCTTTTCTTTTCTTTTTTTTTTAAATTAATATCTGGATTTATAAAATGTATGTGTGCTTTGAAAAAGCAATATCACAAAAAATATTTTTCCTACTTTTATGACTATTTGGTCATTGGAAACTTACTGGAAATAATGAAATCTTGCCTTTTACACTACTAATTGCTCATGACACAACGTTACTGTCAATGAAACTTGACACATGTAAATAATGACTAAAACAAATTTTTCCTTGTCAACAAAGATTGTAAAGTGAATGTTTCTTTGCTATAAATTTCACTTGATTTATTTTAAGGAATTATGTGGATTCAATTTAATTATGAATTGTTTCATTAAGTAGACCAGCTCACCATCAGTTACGAAGGAATTCTTTTACTGTCATTATGATCAGATTCAGACTCTTACTTCTTTTATGGGCCAAGTCCTTTCAAAATGTAGGCAATCATGGCTCTCCACAACCTGTTTTCTAACTCAAGTAATTTTAACCCTTTACCATTCCTTTTTGTCCCTGTTCTGCCACCAATTTACACAAACTCATTAAAGAAGTTATTTGCTGTTTTCTTCTGTTTCTCTTGCCTTCAATATATCATGTGAGTGTTAAATATGCCAGGTCTTCTTTCCTCATTACATGCTCCACAAATTTCATCTGTCTCTTTATGATTGTAAGTAAGTATTGTAAGTACATTTACCAACCTGTATATTTGAGAACACTGCCAAAGAGCATGTCTTGAATGCAAAAGCCAGTAGACGTAGTTCACAATGTTTAAGGAAACAGGACATTGGTTCAAATAAATGTATTCACTAAAATATAACATTTAAATAAAAAACATAAAAAATATACAAAGAATATCTTGTTCATCACTTTGTATATAAGTAGAATCCATGTATGTATGTGTGTGTATATATATATATATATATATATATATATATATATTTTTTTAATCAAAAACAGACCACTTTAAAATGGTCTGTTTTTCATTAAATATTAGCTCTGTATTCACATTGAGCTCTCAGGATTTCATCCTCCTTGGAATTACCTATTTGGTTTACCAAGTTCTTCGTAACTTAACTATATATATATATATATATATATAAAATGAAATAAGTCTGACAATTATTTTAATATATTTTCTGTTTATATGTTATTTTTATAGATACAAATTTTCTATGAAATTTCTCAGACATTCAGGCTGGTAAATGTAATTAATACTGTTTATTATAAACAAAGCATTTACTTAAATATTTATATATCTATAAAAATAATGTATACCCAGAAAATATATATGTCTTGAACAACAACAAAAAAAATGCTAAAAAATTAAAATTTCAGACACATTGGTTTGCATATTAATATTTTGTTTTATTATTTAAATTAGGTTCCTTGACTAGTTTTGGCCAGCATGGCAATCATCAGGAGAAAAAGTTTCTTCTTGTTAGTAGCAGTGAACTACAGAGATTCATAACTGTTTTTGAAAAACTATGTTATTTTTAGTGGATACTCATATTTGAGTAGACATGTCGTTTATTTATTGAACATTATATTTATTTTCGTCTACCAGCCTGAGGCCTGAATATTTGAGAAATTTAAGTTTAAGTAATAGAAATCTGTTGGATTATCAAATAAAAAAATTCATCTCTTTCCTTTACAAATTGCTTTGTTTACATTAATATATGAAACTGAGCAGATATGTCTCTTTGGCATCTTGACTTCACAAATTTAAACACAGTAGGAGAGAGAAAATTCCATGGAGAGAACAAGTAAGCAGCAAGGAAGTCCACAAGGCATATTGAGGGCAAGAGAGATAGGGAAAGTCAGTGAGCCACTTAGCTGATGAACTTGTGTGAATGGATGGTAGAACAGGGGTAGAGAGGGCTTAACAAAGGGAGAAAAACAGCTAAGAACCACAGGAGTTAGAAAGTTGTGGAGAGCCATGACTGTCTATGCTATGAAGGGATGTAGCACAAAGAAAACTAAACTGACAGCTAGGTCTTGTCATTTTACTTTTTTAGTTACTAGATGTAACCATATTTTTTTATACTAACAGTTTCTTTTCTTGCACTTCTTGCTTGCGGAACGCTTCTAGCTTTCCTCTCAAATACAACCTCCAAAAATTCAGATGCAACATCAGTCATCATCTATCTCCTTGAAAATCCTGTTCTCTTATTGTCCTCTCTCCTCAAAGTTTTCTCAGTAATCCTTAATGTCTTAGTGACTTTATCACCTTGCTTGGGGTGAAATGATTTTTAAAAAAAAAGTGTGGTTTAATAAAACTTTCTTTCTGTTACGTAACATTTAATACTTCACTCCACCACCCAACTCACTTCATCCACATGTCTCTTAGTAAAATTTCCATCTTCTGTTTTGAGTAGAGGAAAGATAGTTCATGTGAAGTCAAGTCAAAGGTCGCCAAAATAAAAGTAAAAAAATAATAATTATAGGAGAGAGGCTAGGAAACAAGAGATCCAAATCTTTAAATCTGATTTTGGTGAGAGATGAGGATGAAGATTATGATGGTTAGGGGGTTGCTATGATGGGGAGTAATATTTAAATATGAGCTGCGACAGCTGTGGGTAAGGTGACTGCCAATATTATTTAGGGAATATTTAGGAGTTGGAAAACAGGAAAATATTTAGAGAGTAGCAGTGAAGACTATCAGTCGTGTGTGTGTGTGTGTGTGTGTGTGTGTGTGTGTATATATATATATATATACATATATATATATATATATTTTTTCATGTTTCATTAAATAATATAGACAAGTGTTGTCTATTTATTTTATGTAAATTCATACTTAATACTTCTCAAATTCACTTTCACGTGGTCATGTATGACGTCATGAGCTGCAGTGCAATTTTTGCTTCCGGCGTCTTATATGTACGTGTTTAGCGTTGCTTGGAAATCATCCATGTAAACAGAAACAGACTATCATCACATTCTTGTCCGTGTATTGCTTAATATATTGTACAGTAATTGTCATCTTTGATAATGGCTTATGTAAGCCAAAAGCTTAGATTGGATTAAAAATATTTATCAATATTGTGATTTTTCTTTCTTCGTTTAATGATAATGTTATTAAGCTTATCAGACATTATGAAAAGAATTTACATAAAATAAATAGACAACACTTGTCTATATTATTTAATGAAACATGTATGAATAAAAAAATGCTGCCTAAATATATATATATATATATATATTGAAGTGCTGTGAATGTGATTGTGGTGTAGTGTATAGTAACTCGGAATGAGAAACTGTAGAACAGAGTTCAAATTCCAGTTGTGTCTGTTACATTTACTTATGTGCAAATAATCTTTAGAAATATATGAATCCATCTTGTCATCTAAGTTTTTTTTGTTTTCCTTCTGAGTCTGCCATCAGCAGTATTATCTGTATCTGTCTATCTCAAATCTACCAATAATAAATCCTGGTAGCACTTCCAGTTCTCTTAAAATCAACTTCATGGACGGATTAAATAAATCCAATTGGGAAAGTTAGCGTTGTTTCAGTCTTCTTTCTGTTTTTGTGCATTTATTAAACTGCATTTATACT